TTTGAAAAGGAAAAATTTAATCAGGAACGAAAACCCGACTTATTTTTATATATATATATATATATAGATAATCTATTTGCAATTATTTAAAACAATTGCAATTATTGATTATTTTTAATACTCGATTTTTTAATTACGGTGCGTGAAGTTCCAGCAATTTGCATTAGGGCACAATGCCATGCACCAATAATTTTCTTAGCTATAAACCTTGCGAGCCCAAGACCATTCCAACGAATGCAAAATTGTCGAAATCGGTTCGTGCGTTCTGGAGTTATTTCGTCAGGAAAGAAAACCCGACTTATTTTTATATATATAGAAAATAATCTATTTGCAATTATTTAAAACAATTGCAATTATTGATTATTTTCAATACTCGAATTTTTAATTACGGTGCGTGAAGTTCCAGCAATTTTCATTAGGGCACAATGCCATGCACCAATAATTTTCTTAGCTATAAACCTTGCGGAGCCCGAGACCTTTCCAACGAATGCAAAATTGTCGAAATCGGTTCGTGCGTTCTGGAGTTATTTCGTCAGGAAGGAAAACCCGACTTATTTTTATATATATAGAAGATATATATATATATATATATATATATATAATTAACTATTTTAATTACATAATTTATTATCACCTTTACATCTTGAGGTTCCTTAGCAGTTTGACTCTTTTTCAAAGTTCCATTATTTTCATTTGACGATGATTTTTTATCTTTTGCCACACGTTCATTCATTTTTATTCATCTAATATTCATTAGTTAATACAATCAGATTAAAACCAACGAATTACAAATTAACAAACGTTTTTAGATAAAATAAAATGTATCGCGACTTGTTATTTAAAATTTTGATTGAATGTAGATTTTGTTTTAGGGATACTGTGATTTCAGTAAATGAAATATTATTATATATATATATATATATATATATATATATATATATAAGGGTGGTCCATAATTTATAAATAATTTATAAATATTGAAATAATATTTGTGTTCACAAATGCTATCACAAATGGCGCAAAAATTTACTTCGTGATATATGTTAATAATGAATATATTAAATTTTTAATTAAATTGTGAACTATCTAAATGTTAATATTAAGAGCTGAAACTTTCAGAAAAATTTTTTAATCAATTTCGAAGCATTTGTGCCTCTGGGTGCAAGGAAATTCGAAAATGTCCATATTATGGACCACCCTAATATATAGAGAAGATTCATAATAGAAAATTTAGTATAAAAATAATTAATTGATTGCAAATGTGGTATATAAGTGAAAGGAGCAGCTAATACAAATTATATGTATGTTGGTTTATGCACTGCAACGCATATCACTTATAAACTTTCTTAAGGGCATATAAATATTTTATTTAAATTGACACATTTGAGAAAAATCATATTATTTTTAGGATTTTATTCTTTCAATTAAGAAAATTCATTCTTATTATGAAACTGACAAGGGCCTGAAATAATATCTATGACTATTGATTACGGCTTGCTTATGAATGAATAAATAAATAAATAAATAAACTATCAAGTATTTTACCATTTTCATCACCATTTTTTCATGTTAGTACTTTTTTTTAAGGAAAGCCTCTCAAAGTTGACCAATTTCAAAAATGTTAAATATATAGTTCAAAAAAAGTCTTAATTCTTAAAAACTTGGGTCAATTGTGTCATTATTTTTGACTGTGGTTCTAGAAATATTATTCACAGTTACAGATCCAAAGTTTATATGAATAAAAATTAATAAAATTTAACCACAATAACCGATAATGATCAAATTTTCACCAAAGCTCTAGATTGCACTTACAGGCTCATAATTTTCGAACAAGTGAGATAAATTATTTTTTTATTTTTTTCTCATGACGTTGAGTTCTGGGACACCCTGTATACATAAAAAATAAACAATAAATCAAACATATAATTAATATTTATACTTTTATTATCGATTTGTGAATATTTTTTCTAATATCTACTTCTCTTGTTGTCTTGTTCAGCCCAAGACGTTGAGGAAAGAACCGAAATTTGTTGTAGAATCCTCTCTGTCGGCGATTTTGGTCTTTTTCCGTATCTGGCGGTATCAGGCTAAATTAAAAAAATATATATTAATTATAATAATATTTTCATTTTAGCTAAGCCAATGCTCCAGTAAATAAAAATTGAGATTTTAAACTTTTTAAGTTGTGCCTACAATTCTAAGCTTTAAAGTGGTATTCTGGTATAGAGGTATGAATTTTATGCAATTTTTGAAAAAAAACAATATTTTTATCTTCCTGTACGGTAGTTATAGTAATGGGCCGAAAATTGAAAATGAAAATTTTTGCATTTCTCGACGTTTTGAAGGTTTCTGAACATTTTGGCATACCTCAGAAACTAAATTGATAGGGAGATGTGCTGATTAATTTTTGGCAAAGGCAGGTCCAGCCGTTACGGAGATACGGAGCAAAGAGTGCAGAAAATACAAATCGAGTTTTTGAGAGAAAGGAGTATCCGATTCGAATGATCCAAAAAACATTCAATTTGCAATGATTGAGAGATTAGTTTTTGGCAAAGGCAGTTCCAGCCGTTTTGGAGATACGGAGCTAAATGTGCAAAAAATGTCAGTTTTTGAGTGAACTAAGCGTCCGATTTGAATGGTCTAAAAAACTTTCTGCTTGTATTGACAAAACAATTGCTTTTGAGGATAAAAAATTATTACATCTTTTTTTATTTCCATAAAATATCTTCGTAATTTTGGATTAAAAATTCAAAAAATTAGTCAGGCTAAGCACAGTCTGAGCGCCACTCTGGTATAAATGTTCAGTCAAGTGCGTTTAGACTGTTTATGCACTCTGTTCCAATTTTGTGAAAACTGGAACTATTGAAAAATGTGAAAATGCCGCCAAGCTAAGCACAGTATAAGTGAAAATGTCGCACAGAATTATTTGCAAATGCGTTTAGACTGTGACTATGCGGGAGCACTTTTTCAATTTTGTGTAAATTAGGAAACTATTTTTTTTAAATTGAATTCGAAATGAAATGACGATTGTTAATGTTCTGGAGATAAATTGATTTATGATTTACATTTGATTTGCTCAGATATAATAAGATGGCAAAAATAATGAAAGTTACAGTAATTGTAATAATATATTTGAAAACGTTTAAAATTTCTCGAATATTTCATTACGGTACGGGAAGTTCCAGCAATTTGCCTTAAGGCACTATGCCATACACCACTAGTTAGTAATTTTTTATTGCAGTTCTGATTGCTCTCACCCCGGCGCTTTTGGTCTTCCGTCTGGCCGTCAGAACAGCCTCGCAGAGGGCATGCACCGTCCTCAATTTACTGGCATAAAAGTCCTTTTCCCTCGAAGTCCTTTCGCAGCATCGTTGACGAACCTTATTGCTAGGAAGATCCTCTTCTGGAACACTCGTCCTGGAAACGGTTGTACGGAACTGGATTGGGGACGTTGGGGTATTTAGTAGAGTGTAACAGCTTTTGCTGGCGTTTGTTTTCTTGAACGGGACGGGTTCTGATTTTCTGCAAAATAATAATAAATTGGGAAACGCTGATTGATAATCATAAATGTTTTAGCTAACTTATCAAGCTTTTGCGTCGTTTTGTTCGACTCTTCGTCGTTGCATTTTTTGGGGATGGCATTTTAAAAAAATAATATAGCTGAAGTTAACTGTTATTATATTCTAACATGGCAATACTATTTCATTAATAACGTTTCAAATTTATTTCCTATTACAAGTTTCATGTAATCATTAATTCGATAATTATTTCTCCTATTTACCTCCTAGGTGTGATTTTATTACTACAATCCGTTATATCAATTTTGAGGTCCTTCCCCAACTTGCAAGCTGGCAAGTAATTGTCCCCGCACGAATATGGAATCGGATATCTGTATTTCAAATCAGACATTTCGTTAATTTCGGATTTGGTTCAAGTATAAAAGAATCCCTGCCAAAAAATCCCTGAAAATATTTTCAAAACGTCAAATCATAATTGACACATGATTCTGACAACAGTCTTTTGTTATAATGGAAATAACTTGTAATTAAAATGGTAATAGTCTACTCATTATAGAAAAATCAATTTTCTTCATATGCTTTATTAACTTCCCGTAGGGTAGACTAAAGTTCTAATATACTTTAAACAGATAATTTCAACTTTGAAATTTAGGTTATATAATTCTTATAAATATTAGACAATGTTACAATATTTATAATAATCTATTTGAAAACCTTCAATATTCCTCGAAGTACGGGAAGTTCCAGCAATTTGCCATACACCCCACTAGTCTTATTTATTAATTTATATATTCACAGCATCAGAAAAGAATTCAAAGAGTTCAGAGGACTGATTTAAATACTTTGAATTGTTGATAAATTCATAAATTTGAATTATGTATTCGTTACAAAGTAATACAGAAACTAGCCGCGTACCTTAACGGAATTTTGTCCCAAACTTAACGGAAACTTGATATAATTTACCAGAAGCTTAACGGCATTTTCTCGCGATCTTATCGGAATTTTATCTCAATCTTATCGGAATTTTGTCGCAATTTTATTTGGATTTCGTCAAAATTGGTCCAAGAGCCATATATCACAATCTTATTCGAATTTATTTTGATTTTATATATATTTAATTTTATATGAATTTAAAGTATTTTGATTTTATATATATTTAAATTACGGGAAATTAAAAAAGTGAATTCTTTGGCTGTTGCATTTTATCTGATAACTTAATTCAAATCATTTTACTTATTAATATCTTTGGACAAAATTATTCTTTTTCGGACATGTTTAATTCAAAGTTAAAACCGGTGCAGAAGTTGCACAATTATATTTAACACATTTCATATTTTACAATAACATTTTTAAAAACGTTCCGTTAAATTCATGTAAACACTTTGAAGTTTTCCATTACTTTGTAATGTTGGCATCGCTGTAATATTTGCAACGCATGCAAAACTTCATACGTGAGTGACTCGATCTAATTAAATGACAGATCATATTTTGACAGTTGCTTCTTGTAGCTAGAGAAACTAAACGAAAATAAAGAAAAATATTGATAAATATGTCGTTTTTTAATGTCGGTGCTCTCGGTGGCAATCCATTTTCTACTTTAGTGGGCCAAAAAATAGGTTTGTAGAAAAATTTTATATGAAGTCTTCCAAATTTGCACAACAACATATACAAACTTTCTTGATATTAATTTCACTTTTATAATTCATTCAGATATTATTGCATATATGTTAAAGTATTCTATTAATGATAGCAATATGTAGTTTAATCTTAAGTATGTTGTTATCAGTTATCTATCAATTTTATGTGTTAATTTAATTAACATCAATTACCATCAATTTAGATTTCCATTTTGTTTCTATTTATTATACACCCACTCATATATATATATATATATATATATATATATATATATTCAAAATAATACTTATTATTATTTTTCTTTTTTCAGAAAAGGCTACCGATGGAGGCTTGGAAGCAGAAGATTGGTCTCTTAACATGGAGATATGTGACTTGGTAAATGCATCTGCAGAAAATGCTCGAGATGCCGTAAAAGCCATTAGAAAAAGACTGCAACAAAGCACAACCAAAAATTATACTGTTGTACTATACACTTTAACAGTGTTAGAAACCTGTGTCAAAAACTGTGGACGACCACTTCATGTCCAAGTCTGCGCTAAAGACTTCATACAAGATTTGGTAATAATACATGTTGATGTATTAATTATGAGTTTTATTTATGTATATTATATTTTTTAGGTGAAACTAATTGGGCCTAAAAATGATCCACCTCCTGTAGTGCAAGAAAGAGTCTTGAGTTTAATTCAAAGTTGGGCGGATGCTTTCCAAAATCAACCAGAATTGTCTGGTGTTGTTAGTGTGTATTCAGAACTGAGAAACAAAGGAATAGAGTTTCCTGCTCCAGATGTGGATACAGCAGCACCCATTCACACACCACACAGAGTAAGTAGCACATATTTTAGGTTAAAAGTTGCTTCAGTTTATACCAAGTGGTTTATATATTTTAAAACCATTATAGAGTGTTCATGAAGATGAACCTGCTTTATCACATTCACCACGCCAACCCGCACCAATGCATCAACCTCAGACTTCTTCAGATTTGAGTCCTTCGCAAATTGCTAAACTTCAATCAGAATTGCAAATGGTTACAGAAAATATGTCTGTGCTTGGTGAAATGCTAACAGAACTCAGACCCGGACAAGAGCATCCTGCAGACTTACAATTGTTACAGGTAATGGTACAAACATTGAGTTATTTATGTTTTAATATTTATTCAATGTAAACTTTTAGGAGCTCCATTCAACATGTCGCTCAATGCAAACACGGATTGTGGATTTGATAAGTAAATTATCAAATGATGAAATCACAGCAGAACTTTTGAGAATCAATGACGAGATGAATAACTTATTTTTGAGATACAGCAGGTTTGAAAAGAACCGTGGCATTACTTCACCTTCACAAGTTCTTGGCAAAGCTATGGGTGTTCCACAAACAACAAATTCAGGTAAAACAAGTACAAAACACTTATATAATAATAATAATAATAATTATTATTCTTTTATATTCTTCTAGGTGAACCTGACAAGACAGATATAGGACCGGATTCGTTAATTGATTTGAGTGAAGTGGCTTCTGGTGGTTCTGATATTGACACAAAATTTTCCAATTTAAGTATGTATTTGGTAATATCAGTATATTGAAATAACAGATTTACACTCTTATAAATATTGTTTTTTTATAGAAATAGATAAAAAGCCTGTTGCAACTTCACAACAAGGAATTGATGAATTTGATATGTTTGCACAATCGAGAAACATTTCTAGTGAGGGATCAACCAGGTAATAAGGAGAGTTATAATAATGTATTAATATTAATACCAGATTTTTGTAATTAACACACTATAGGCGGGCCCTGTAAAAATACTAGTCGAACTGACAACTATACTGATATGCATCATATTTATTGCAAGTGTTCAAGACATTAAAGTCCGCAGTTCAACTAGGATTTATTCAAAATTTCAATATCCAAGTGCATAAAACATTTTTGACTAGATTTTAATGAATTTTATCTATTTTTTATCATTGTAAGCAAATTATAATGTCCGGAATGAAATTTAAAAGTTATTTGAAGAAAACTAAAATAATGTACCTAATCCATATATTGCAAGTTATGGAAATACTAAAATCCGCATTTCAACTACGATTTACTCAAAATTTCAATATCAAAGTGTATATAACAGCTTGTACCAGATTTTAGTAAAAGCTTTAAACATAATATAATAACTGATTGATAATAATTATATTTCTTTTATCATTACATCTATTATATATGAATATTTATTTAATTTCCAGTGCTATGAAGGAAGGACACGGTTTGGACTTATTATCAAATACACATAAAAATGTACCACCAACAATTCCACAAGCCGGACAACTTGTAAGTAATATCTTTTTGAAAAGCTTTATATAATAAGACTATATAAATCATTGTGTTGTTATTTTTTGTTTAAATATCTTATCGAAAAAATATTTGACCACTTTTTTTCTTGTGCAAGAGTATTTTCCTTTACAGAGTAATAAAGATATATATATATATATATATATATATATATATATATATATATTATTCAATGATCTTACTTTTTCTGGCATTTTTATTTCAATGTGCATTTGCTTTAAGTGTTTATTATTTAAATTTATAGCCAAGGGATTCTGAGTTTGATGAAATTGCTGCTTGGCTTGATGAAAAGGTAAAATGGATTGCTTTTTTATTTTCTTCATTCATTTAGGTAGAATTCTTACTTACAATCAGTAGTAACATAATTTAACACGACTTTGCATGAAAAATGTTTCATCAATTGCTTTAATATTTGCTTTTTAACTCATAAATTAACATAAAAAAGAAGCATGTTCTGTTATTCAATATCAACTATTTTATTACACTATCCTAGATGCTTTATTTGTTTAAACAACAAAGTTCAATTCACAAATGCTTTATTATTATTTTTATTTTACGATTTAGGTTGAAGACAAAGCCCAAGTTCCCGAAGACAGTATTACAAGCAGTGAATTTGATAAATTCCTGGCAGAACGGGCAGCTGTTGCTGAAACTTTGCCAAATATTCCACCGACTACACAAAGTAATCAATCAAATAATGAAAGCAAACGATAAAATATTATTTAATTGATTTAATTATTCAAAGGTAAGGTATAATAATATAATATGGCTTTTGGTTGTTACACGTGCACAGAAATATGTTTTTTTTAATAAAGCTCAACAATATTTAGGTGTCAGAGAATTAAAACATTATTCTGTGTTGTAAATGTTAAAATGCACAGCCGTATGCTTTTAATATGTTTTTTTATCAAAGCTGATTTATTCCTATGCAATTTTAATTATCGGTTTGTTATTGATTTTATGTTAGTTGTTAATAAATTTTAATATATTGAAGTTAATTTAATTTTATCTGTTACTATTATGCTTTTAATTTAGTGATTTAGTTATAGAATAAAAGAGTATATTTAGATAATAATGACTTAAGTAGATATCATGGTTTCTGAGTCAAATTTTACTTTAAAGTATTGTATTATGTTATGAATTAAAATAAATAGGTAACATGTGAAGAAATACTTAAGCAGACATTGTAAATCAGTTTTTAATGATGAAATCATTTTGTGGATTCTTACATTACATTAAATTATGTAATTGATGTGAAATTGTTTGATCTGAGCACACTTTATAAGGACCTAGTACATTTGACATTTTTGCAGCGGCTTCTTTACATTTTGAGGGGATATGTTGGCCTAGAGACATAAGTAATCTATAGAGTATATATATATATATATATATATATATATATATATATATATATATATATATATATTTAAGTTGAGAAGTCATGGGTATCGTAAGAAAGCACAGCAGGATTATCATGATCAAACAGCTATATCTCCAAAACTAATATAAATTTTGAAAAAATCTCTTGTACACATATTTTTGAATAACTAAACTTTTAAAATATCCAATAAAACTGATTTTTTAAAAATTCTAGACCAGAATACCCTTGAGTATAATTTTTTTTTAATAATAATATTAGATATAAAATGTACTGATTGTATTTATTTTTATCATTCCAAATTTTGAACTTTGCAGCTTTTACAAAAATAATTTATATTAAATATAATTTAACTTATTAAATTCTGTCTACTAATGTCTTTGAAAAAAAAAATATATTGTAAATTATGCATAATTTAATTTAACTTATAAAATTTTGTGTACTAATGTTTTATATATGATGTATGATAGCTTAAAATGTTTTGTAATTTGCAAACATTTAATAAAAAGCATAATGTGTTTATATTAATAAATTTGTGAGTTTTAGGTTATGTTGAAGGATTACTTTTTTTTAAAGTAGTAGTTTTAAATTTTTAGTTTTGAAGGAATAAAGAAGTAAAATACATATATTAATTTATGAGGTGTTTACAAATATACTGATATGCTGCAAGTAAAACTTTTGCATCTTAATAAATTTTGTGCAAATTTGCCAAAAATGTAAGTTATATTTGATAAATTATATTAATACCCTTTGTAGTCTTATAACATTTTGAAATCTTTTTAGGTAATGAATACTAATTACCACAATTTACAACTGATATCCTTATACATTTTTGCTAAGTAAAAAACTTCTTATTCAGTCGCATTTGATTTAACTATCTATCATAAATAATATGTACAATTCTTTGCTTTCATTTATATAAAATACAAATTATCAGTCTGATTTATCATTCAAAGATATACTCTGCTGAAATTTTCTTTGCGTTCTTGCAGCAACACGATGTGTCTCCACACTTTCAGAGCTGTCCCCAGATTCATATTCAAATGTTCTATCACAGTTTCACGGTCTATGAGCAATATTGCTAATCCATCAATATCCTAAAAGATAATGGATATAATATTATTGTAAGTGGTTAAATGGGATATATAATCGAGTGTTACCTCTTCTTTGAATGTGAAAGCATCTTCTGGGAAATAATTTGTAAAATATTCACAAACTTCATCACTTGTCCAGTTTGTTACATCAGGAATATTCTCATCAATATCTGGATCAACATCTTGTTCTGGACTTCTAAAAGTTATTAAAATTAGAAGTGAAATTCTTAAGTATATTTACAAGCAATCACTTACAAATTTTCAATTTTTATATCAACAAATTTAATTTCCTCCTCCTTTGGCTTCTCCAATTTCACATTATCTTTATTGCACTTAACATCTTCTTCGAAACTGTTCTCGGTTTTAATATTGCATTTGACTATTGGCTTCTTATCCTTTATAGTCTTTTTGTTAACGGTGTTTACAACTTTTTGGAGTTTCATAACACCATACCTCGTGTAATCAAAGTCTGCTGAGGTGCCTTTACAATTGCGACAAATCCAATCAGGGGATGCTGATAAAGAAGCTTTTATCTTTGGTGTGTGACATTGTGCGTGATAGGCGTCTGAGCATGTTTTGCACACAGTCAAAACACCCTGGAAATAAAATTATAAGCTTTACATCTTATTGTGTTTATTTAATATGTTTGAATATTTTATTACCGAATCTGCAGTCTCTTCACAAATGACACAAATTTTACAATAAGGGCACTGCCACGTCTTGTCAGGGCGCATTCTAAGGATGCCGATGTTTGTGTCCAAGCAACTCACATGAGCTTAATAGAAATACAAATAGGTAAAACATATTTTTATTATATATTTCAATTATTTTCATACCTCTATTACAACAGTCACAGCATGAGATGAATTTATCGTTCTTTTGCTTTCTACAAACAGAACAAACCCCGGCTGTCACCTCAATGTTTTCAGTTCGTGCTGTATGACTACTGTCTTCATCAAACGAATTGGATTTTGACAGTTTTGTGGAATATTCTACATCTTGTAAATTTATGGAATCGTTTGATTTCACAGCACTGCTTCTTCTGCGCTTTGGTAAGTTGTTATCAGAAGGATCAAAAACAACTTTTTTATTACGCTGAAAATAAATGCATGTGGTAAAAATTGATATATTAGTACAATTTAAGTTTAAAATTACCTTTCTGGTGCCTATAATTATGTTTTTGTTGTCGGTGTTTTTATTCTTTGATTTGACCATTGTTGAAAAGGTTACAATTTGTTTTCAAAAATATAATATATACTACTAGAAATGTTTTAGCTGAATATAAAAGTGTAATTTACAAAAATAGCATCAAATCATAAGCAACTGTTTAATTTATTTATAAAATCTTGTTTTATTACAAAATTATTCTTGCGGTAAAAATGCGTATAAAACTATATTACAAAACAATATTTTCATCGCACAAAAGTTCATATGAAAATAAAAACACGTTTTTAGAGTTTTTGTATAAAATTATATCTTTTTCTCTTAACTTTTAATAATATTTATCTTCTCTACAATTTTAAACGACATTCTGCAGCCGAAACTTGTAGAAAATCGCGCACGTTATTATTCGCAAACCGCACATAATTCACGCACAAAACTTTGTTTCATAATGAAACATACAGTATTTGAATGTTATTTACAAATAATTTTAACTTTTAACATTTGAAATTAATCTTTTCTTCGATTATTTTACGATGTTGACTGTAACCTACATTTCGATAAATACAAAAACTGTCATGAAAGTGATACCAACCGATCTGACGGCTTACAGTTTATATGAAAAGTTTTCGAAACAATTATTGATTTATCGTAGTGGATGGTTTTGCGAAACGAATTTAATATTATTTATATGTAGAACAGTATTATTAATGAGCTGTTGCTGTTAGCATTAATATTTAATCACCAGTCAATTTGCGTTTATCTGTCATACTTCATTAGGATTTTTACTATCATTTGTGTTATAGTTTACTAATTTATTTAAAACTGAAATTATAACTTGCATAACGTTTATTTTTATTTCAAAAGATTAAAATTAATTATCATCAAAATATGTAGAAAATTATTCTCATTTGATAAAAAGTCTGAATAAATTTGATCAATTTTATTTTTAATTATTTAAAATTGCCGCTCTGACATGTCACGTGGAGAAATTATCTGACATTTATTGTTATGTTTACTTATTTATGTCAAGTCGTTAAGAAAGTTATTTGTTATTTATTAAATAAAGCTTATACTTACTATAATACGTAATAAGTATTAAAATTCCAAATATAAACAATTATTTAAAATAAAATAATGTTGGTAATGTATAAAATGCCCTACGCTTACGCCACATTTGTTGGCATCTGGCAACACTAACCAGTTTTATTCATATCGAAGTTAAGAAAACGTTGTGTATAAAGTTTGTTATTTTTGGTTTATAAATACAATTTAAATAACTAACTCAATCCAATAATTTAGATATAAAAATAATATATATATTTATATATATATACATATATATAAATCAAGTAATGCGTAGATAATTTTCATAATAGGAAAAATTGACATATCTAAATTATTCATGTACCAGAGGCGTACTATAATGTTATGAAATGTAAGTGCAATATTATGTATAATATTATATATTATTACCTCATTTGTAATAGGACAGTGTGGTAATTATATATTAGAAATACCAAATAACGTAAAATTAATGTAAACAGTAATTATTTATACAAAAGAAAGACTTAAGCAATGTCTGAAGTCAGGCGTAAAACATGGTGCGTGCCAACCACTGCAAAAAAAAAATTGTACAATTTTATCAAAAATTTTATGTACAAAGCTATAAAGCCAGCTTAATTAATAGAAAATATTTATATTTTTGTCATTTAATTACAAATAATGATATTAAAATGCATATTTAACTTATAGCAATGAACATAATGATTAATAATAAATGAACAGTTTTTGCACATCGTCAAGGACAGTTTAGGCGCCATTTGCACAAGTTACATCTCAAACGTATGTTTTATAAAAATATGTGTGAATATTTAAAATATATATAGTTATGTGAATAAGTATATACTTTTACAATGCAATAGTTTATATAATGTGTTATTCACTAATATATTGTTTGTGGCTCATTCTACAGCATGTGCTACAAATATGTTGAAAAGAAAAACGTTTAAAACAACGGCCATTACAGACAGTTGAACAAAATAAAGCATATCGTTACAACTGCAAAAGTCTTCAAATGTTTCTGCATGAAGCATTTTGGAATCATCAATTGCATTTTAGTCGAGGTATGAATATAATATCCACTACTTAAATAAAGCATCAGTTAATTAAATAGTCATTATTTAATGAAATATATTTTTCGAACTTCAAATTTTATATTTCATTCTTCATCGCCATTTGCATTTTGCATAGGATGAAGTATGAAATCTATAATTGGAAGCTTATACCAAAATCAAACCGCTCTTTTAATTAATTGCATGATGTTCTGCTTGAATATGTATGTGTATTTCTTTGTAATTTGACCTTAAATTTTAAATTAATTTTAATTGGCCCTCCTCGTTCAATGGGCCCCCACCGCCGGAGCCTTTTACGAGCGACAAGTACGCAAATAATTAATTTTTACTCCCTCTCCTCGGGCCGTATGGAATGGGGCTCTGTAAAAGCCACCCTTAATTATATAGACTTGTGTTGTAGGGGTGGATTTAGTGAAGCCAATATGCTCAAGTCGATTAATCGATTTATCAAAAAAAAGAGAAAAGTATTAATTTAATATTTAATTATAGGATGAATTGAAATCAAGGGAAAAAAATTAGCAAATCAAGATATACAAGCTTAATTTAATGTCATCAAGAGGAATTCCGGATAATCTATTTTCTCCTTATATAATTAGTTTATTGTATGTTGAAACCATATTTTGGGTAAGATCAATTTTTTGACTAAGGTATGTATTTTAAATCATATCAATAGAGTGAGCAATAATTATATAATATAATCAATCAAGTATTATTATTATTACTCGCTTAAATATTATTATTACTCACTTAAATATAAGTTAAATTCAATAGTACATGCATGTAATATTTACATATTTATTCACAATATTTTACAGTAGATTTCATAACAAATAGTATTTGATTTAAATTATTAGTCCGTTTTTTACTTATTTAGTTTACTATTATACTCTGTGCTTCACAAATTTAACTTTAACATTTAAATTTAGCTCATTAACACAATTTTTATCAGAAATATATGTATAAATATATTTTCTTTGTTAATTTTCTAGTTACAAAGATTATTTATTTTTATTTTATTTATTTGATTTTGATATTTGATTATATATTTAAGCCATTGTGTATTGATTTAAATTTACATCTTACATTAATCATACATTTATATATAGGTTAAAATATAAACTGGACTAAATGAGCCCCATTAAACAAATCAAGATAAATGAGGGATGGAGAAAAATTTAACAAATCAAATATATATGTATCATAAAAAGCAATTTTGGATGTGATGATATTCTGAAATATATTTGCAATATTATGGGCAAAATTGGACATGAAATTATAATTTCCTTTTGTATTTACATCATCGTAATCAAATCACTATTTTGGGTGAGATAAAAAATTCTACCAAGGTATGTATTTAAGTAAAGTAAAAATAAATCTTGATTTCCTATATTCAATAGTATAATAAGAATTTAGTATTTGCGTTTTAAGCATGATAAATTAAAATGTAATGAGGTAATAACTGGTAATAACTAACTTTTATATTTGTTAAAGTAACTATTTTTTTTAAATGTAGACCAGTACAGTAATTATTTATTATAAACATATATTTATATATGTGTGTGTTTGTGTGTGTGTAAATAATATTTTGTTTTTAGTTATGTGATTACTATAAATTTTATAAATTTATATTTTGTTTATTAAAACAAAAGGCTCAGGTAGAGTATGTATAGTCAATTGTAGAACTTATATTTGTTCCATATTATTTAATAAAACTACAATTAACAAAAAAATATGTAATCAATTTATTATATTAATTTGAAACTTGTTTATAATATATCTACTTTATTATTTATTTTAAAAAATTCTAGTTAAAAATAAATTATTAAAATGTATAATATTTAGGCCTTTGCCTATTGATTTGTATTTACTTCTTGAATTAATCATATATTTATATATAGGTTAAATTAAAACTGGATTAAATGAGCACCAATAAGCAATTCAAATTATTAAGGAATGGAATAAAATGATGAAATCAAGATAAATGAGGAATGCAAAGGAATTTAAAAATATAAAAAATGAGACATATGGAGCCACAAAAAGAATTTAGATAATTTTCTTATATAATTAAATCATTATATCTTAAACAATATTTTGGGTGAGATAAACATTTTAACCAAGGTATGTATATTAAAAAGATAGATATATATATATATATAATATATACATCAAAACAAAGTTGCTACTTTTTGTAGTACACTCCTACCCTTTATATTAATTCAGACTTTTTAATTTTCATTAAAAAAAATTATTTGCAGAGATTATTTGATTGTATAATATTTAAACCATTGTCAATTGATTTATTTACAATTTACTTGATGAATTAATCATACATTTATATAGGGTAAAAACTGGACTGAATTGAATGAGGAATTGACTGAAATTATGAAATCAAAATAAGTAAATGAGAAATGCAATGAAATTCAACAAATCAATATATACATGCCCAATTTAATGTCATCAAAAGGAGTTTTGGATAATATATGATCTCCTTGTGTAATTATTATAGTATTGTAACATAAATCAATATTTTGGGTGAGATAAAAAAATTAAACAAGGTATGTCCTAATTTTTATGAGTTTATTTTTTGTTTATCAAAACAAACTTGTTCCTGCTCTAGTAGAGAAGGTTTTTAATTATACTAAACGTAATAATAATAATTAGTAAAACTACAATTAATATAATAATTTTACTTATTTATTATGTTATTGTATTTAACTAACATTTGAGTTGAGATATTTCTATCACATATTTTTGTATAACAAAAATTTCATTGATGATATTTTATTTTCAGTAAAATTCTAATTACTAAAATCTAATTTCTAAAAATGCTACATTTTGAAGCTTGCTTTTGCTCTTGAATATATAATTTCAGTTTTCATTTTATTAGAAATATATCTATTTTCATTAATTTTCTGTAAATTCATAGATTTAAACCATTATCTTGTATTTACTTAAGAAATTAATCAGACATTTATATATAGGGTAAAATTAAAAATTGGACTAAATGAGCACCAATAAACAAATAAAAATAAAAAATGAGGAAGGAAAAAAAAACAA